TTAAGTTTATATAAATATGAAATTATATTTTTTATATTTATTATTTTTGTTTTGGTTTAGCTATATAGATATGAAACAACAAACAAATTTATACACATTCTCATTTGTTTCATATTCTATTGTGTTTTAGAAAATATTGCATAGAATATGCATTTTTGTGAAAATATTATATTTTTAGTTTTTAGACTTAACAATCAACATATATATATTTCATTAAGTCTATAAAATCATTTTACAAAGATTCAAAAGTTTGTTTAAGTCATTTGTCAAAAACATGTATGTTTAGTTTTTATGTTTTTGGATATTTTTGCAAAATGATGATATTTTACAAATGGGAGGTGTAATTTGAAAAATAATTTTTATAACATGCTTATTATCATGTTTACAATCATTTTCTAAAGTTTTATATTTTTCTGAATTTATTTGTTATTTTTAAATGCACTTTAAAAGTTAATTTTTAGACATGTACAGTCTCTGTGCATGTTCATAAGTTGACTTATCATGGATGATAAGTCGACTTATGAACTACTCTGGAATATGCATTTAGCCTCTGCCAAGTCGACTTTTCAGATAACGCAAGTCAACTTATAGCAAGTCGACTTATGCCATTTACAAGTTGACTTATGACTTGTTTTTTAGTGTATTATTTTCCTCTGCCAAGTCGACTTATGCCACTGTTAAGTTGACTTATAAATTTGACCGTTACACAGTAACGACTATTTTTAGATTTTGTGTATTTTAATGATTTTTATGGGTTTTTGGGTTTTCTTGGGCTGGTTTCTTCCACCTTATATATACCCCATTGTCATAACTATTTTGGATAACCAAGAGAAGTTTTTAATCAAGTTTTAACAAGGATTTAAGTTTGTTTAAAAATCTTTCAAGCATTTTACAAGTTTGGTTTTGTGAAGAGAATTTCACAAGAGCTTGGGGAGATCATCCATTGGTGTTTGAGCATTCAACTCTTCTCCCTCTCTCTCTTGTTATCATAGAGAAGATTTTCTAAACTCTTATCTAGTTTTTTATATTGTTTGATTTTTATTTCCTTAAGCTAGAATTTATTTGAGTTTAGATTTGTTTTATTTAATCTCTTTGTTACACTCACCTACATTGAGCTTATTGTATTTACATACATAGTATAATTTGGATTGTGGGGAGTGCGACTTAGAGTGTGAGCTTTCATTGTGTTCTTATCCATAGTAGAGAACAAACATTTTTTGTTTTAAGCCTAATTATAAGGATTCACTTTGTATTGCACAAATGCACCAAGAGGAGTGTAGAGGTGAGAGACGTGGTCGGTCCCAAGAGGAGTGGGGTTGGTGGTAATGCCTAGAGATAGGTCGTAATTCCGAGCACTTGAGGGAAACACGTGGGAGGCCAAAACTTGAGATGGGATTTGTGTAGTTACAAGAGGATTTTTTATTAAACTTTACACAAAAAACTCTAAAAAAAATTAACAAATTATAAATGACACCTTGAATATTTAGAAATTATAAATAACACCTAACGAATTATAAATAATCCCTTTAAATTCTATAGTTTACCGACCTAGAGAATTTCAAAATTTATCCAAAATGCCCTAAAATTTTAAAATAATGAAAAACACCCCAAAAATTTTCAAAATTTTTAAAAATTACTAACAGGCCTTGGAATCTGAAAACATCAACATACTCTAAAAGTTAAAATTTTACAAAAAACCTTAAAAATCTAAAATTTTTAGGAAACACCATGAAAATTTTAAAAACATTGAAAATCAAAAAATTTCTGACATTCCCCTTAATATATTTAGGGGCTATTGCTAATTTTTAAGAATTTTTCTTGGTGTTTTTGTAGATTTTAAAATTTTTAGGATTCATTTCTAAATTTCATATATTAAGAGAACTGTTTTTAAATTTGGGATTTCTAGGTTTTTTTTTTGTAATTTTAATTTTTTTAGTTGTTTTTGTAATTTTTAATGGTCATCTGTAATTTTCATATTTTCATGGACCTATTTCTAACTTTCTAATTGTTTAGGGTGCTTTTTTATAATTTTTGAGATTTGTTTCAAGTTTTTTTTTGTAAATTTTAATATTTGTAGAGGGTTGTTTGGAATTTTCAAAATCTTCTTTAAGTGTTTAATGGTTCTTTCATGAAAGGACCACATTGGGCAAATAAACATAGTATAAATAGTAAAATAGGCAAATTAATACTTTAGGGGGCAAGTTAAGACTTCATCAATGCTTTTTAGTTTGGATAGAGAAGTGGGTATGGGAGGGAGACAATTGAATTTTACCCAAGGTGAGGGAAAGGAGAGGAGAGGAGGGAAATCATACTCCCTTTAAAAGCACG